TTTAAGTTGTTTCCATATCTTGGCTGTTGTAAATAATGTTGCAGTGAACATAGGGGTGCATATATCTTTTTGAATTAGTGTTTTTGTTTTCTTCGGATATACACCCAGAAGTGGAATTTGTGTGTCATATCATAGTTGTATTTTTAATTTTGGGGGAGACCTCCATACTGTTTTCCATACTGGCTGTACCAATTTATATTCCTACCAACAGTGCACAGGATTCCCTTTTCTCCACATCCTCACCAACTTGTTATTTCTTGTCTTTTATAATAGTCATTATTATAACAGGTGTGAGGTGGTATCTCATTGTGGTTTTGATTTGCATTTCCCTGATGATTAGTGATATTGAGCATCTTTTCATGTACCTGTTGGCCATCTGTATGTCTTTGTTGGAAAAATGTCTCTTCAGATCTTCTGCCCATTTTTTAATAGGATTGTTTGTTTTTTTGCTATTGATTTGTCTGAGTTCTTTATATACAGAGGGTGCCCAAAAAATGTATACACATTTTAAGAAGGAAAAAACTGTTAAAATTACAACACTCAATATATACTGATAACAGAAGATGAATACAAGTCACGTATATACATTTTTTTGGCACCTCCGGTATTTTAGATACTAACCCTTATCAGATATATGATTTGCATATATTTTTTACCATTCAGCAGGTTGCCTAGGAAGTCTTGTTTTATTTTGTTCTCTTTAACAAGAGGAATCATATATACAAAATTTGTTATTGTGTCATTGACCTGAAAGTCACTATACCATGTTTATTTCAGACACTTACACCTTCCATAGCCAGGTAGAAACACTTAGGCACACGCGCACACAGCAGAGGTTCCTGTGCTATAATGGCATTGACTTTGAATTTGGGGCCCTCGAACCGGTGATTTCATGAGACATAAAGGAGTGCTGAAGCTTGAGGGGACGCAGCTACCATGGGCCTAGCAGTCTTTGCTGCCAGTTTGCAGTACTTCATGATTTTTAAGTGTTGTATCATCACTTCTCACCAGTAATTTTATCTTACCTTCCTTCCCTTTTTGTCTCCTCAACAGGAAAGCTTTGAATTTTATGCAAAGCAGCTAAAGGAATTAAGGGAAAGCCCTTTGTGAAACAAGCAGGCACTACTTTGTCTTGTGTGTATTTGCGATTCTGTGTCTAAAATGTATTTTTTAAACGTGTTTGAGAGGACAAAAATAAATAAATGGAAAGTTACTCTGTTTACGCATTTGTATTAATTTGTAATGCAGTGTATGGTATGTTCAGCATCTTCTTGGCAATCACTGTGCACTTAGTCACCAGACTTTTCTTTCGTACCTATAGTAGGAGACTATGGCGTTTTCTTCGAGGCTCCTGATGTATGAAGCCGTCATTTTTCAGGGTTCTTCTCCTAGTTGACTTTTCAGGTCCCATACTCTATTTATTATTTTCATAGAGAGGTTGTTCTTTTAATTAAGACTTGCTTGTTAGTATTGTTTATCTGAAAAGTTTTGGAACTGGACAAAATGACATTTAGTGAGCTTTCTAATGGCTAATATTCGATGATATATCAATTCTTTACATGTGTGAAGCCCTGCCTAATTTTCGAATTTTGTAAAATGTTGGCACTAGAAGGCATCGTACGAGTCATCAAATCCAGTGCTCAGCATTTTCCAGCAAGAAGCAGAGACCCAGAGAGGCTCGTTTGCCCTTGTCGGGGTGCTAGTCCAGTGACGTGTGCCTCCCTTCTAGCACAGGGGCTCCATGAGCCTCTGTTCATAGGAACTCTAAACCTGAGCCTGAGTCATGACTTTAATCATGGAGTGGAGCGATGCATTTCCTCTCGTTTTGGTTTCCGGTCTTTGTCAGCACAAGCTACACCCTACACTGGGCTTGTTACTTTATTCTCATATCCTGTGAATATGTAATTTGATACATGAAGGAGTGAAATCTTGGTTTGTGTTCAGTTTTATCAAACCTATCCCCAAATTGGCTTTCATGCCTGTTAATACCTACTTTGTAAGTAGTTACTATGAAAGATTTGAAGATGGTAGTCAAAACACTTTGCCATTACAAAGGTATCTTAATATGTGATATTGACCTTTTTGGAGATTAGGTGATTTAATTACAACAAGTTGAAAATGTTTGATTTGAGAGTTATCCCCTTTTTGACATATTCCTTGTCCATTTGAAATCAGTGACTACCTACTGTTCTGGTTTCAGTGACAACTTATTTGGTTCCCCCTGTTTACATGAGGGTGACCTTGTCTTAGGGAGGGAAGTAAGCCGGTGCCATGCTGTTTATGCTGCTAACCCGTATCTTGTGGGACCAGCCATCCTGCATCTAGAACCTACAGATGGCATGAGAGGAAGGGATGATGGAGGGAAGCCAAGAAATAAATGTTATGGCATTGGCTATGCTTCATCTGTTTTTATAGAGTTAGATCCAAGGAATCGGGGCTTGGCCAGTGCTGAGTCCCAGCCTAGAGGACGTAAGGAAGCTTTCCTCTGCATTCCTCAGGTGGGGGACCTGTCTGTGTTGTCGTTTTGATACTGTCTGCCATGAGCCTCACTCCATTAGTGATTCAGCTGACACGGGCCTTAGTTTTTGCAGCTCTACTAACCACAAGTTAGTTAAGTTTTATTAACGGTCATTAAAATAGGTCTCCAAAATGAGCCATAACCTTGGGGTATAATTTGGACTTCCCAGTCATCTTTGGGGAAACAGAGTACAGTCTCAATTGCACGAAGTGACTCCCAGCCAGCCCTGTATATTGACTCTGGTGAAATGTGGGTGTAGTGTGGAGGAAATAGGCACAATCCTTCCTCTAGCGTTCTGAACAGCAGGCTGGGGCCATTAAATATATTACGTGTATGAACAAAGAACTATCATGCCATATATACGTATGTGTGTGTGTGTGTGTGTGTGTGTGTGTGTGTGTGTATCTTTAGCACTGAATTGGCTTTCTTTTGAATATAGATATCTAAAATGTAATAATTGTAAATTCTAGATGGGCTATGAATGCTTTCTAAATAGATAACAGTGAATTTGAAATAAATAGAAATATAGAGTAAACTCAATTATAGCAACACTTAATACGCTTACTTAATACTCAGATTATAAGCAAATAGCTAATTCTGAAATGTAAACATTGTAAACTTTTGGAAAGTATAGTGTTTTATATGTAATTGTGCATCCATGTATTTCAGCCTGATCTAATTTTAATGTGAAATGCTTTGAATAAATTGTTCTCCAAAAACCTGTGGGCGTCTTCATTTTTATCTTTCAAAATCTTTGCATAACCGCTTTAAGCCACTGCAAGGACTTTCATCTTGGATTTATAAATGTAAAATTGTGTGGTGGGCTCTGTTGTTACCAGAATCTCCTTGTTAAATGGTATAGTTTGTGTGTGGAGAACCAATGAAGTCACTGCTTATCTGGTTCTTTTCTTTTTTAAGATTTTATTGGGGAATCAGGGAATGGGAACAGACAAGTTGCTGTCCTTTTGTTCTTCAGTCTAGTTGTGGAGGACGTCGCTTCACTGGCCCATGTTGGTATTATCATTGTGCTCTTCCCGGGCGAAGCAGATCAGTGGCTGACCATTAGACACCCGTTCACGGCGGCTAACGGGAGCTCACGCCAGCTGCCAGCCACTCACGGTAGTTAACGGCAGCCCACTGTAGCCCCGCTGCAGCCTACGCCATCGCTGGCGACTCATGGCAGCCCAGCTCCAGGTCGAGCTGTTGTTCACCATCTTAGCTGTAGAGGGCGCAGCGTCACTGGCCCTCGTGGGATCTGAACCGGGGCCTTGCTGCTCAGAGCCAGCGTCCCAAGCCAACTCTTAACCAAGGCACCACTCGGCCGACCCTGCTTATCTGCTTTAAGGACAAGCAGATATCTAGTTTGAGATCTCTGAGATACAAAGTTGGCAAGAATTAGTTGAATTGGACATATGGTAAATCAATACATAAAATCTAGGGATTTTATCTTGCTTTAAGTGTCAGAAGGAGCGTTTTACAGCTGCATAAATGACTCAGACCCACTCCACATGTGCTGCCGTCAGTACACTTTTCCTCTCTGCCTTCACCCTCCTGTTCCTTTTTTGTGAATGCTTACTAAGCTGGCATCAGTGTCACCTTTCTGCCACCTTCTCAGCCCCTCTCCCCACTTACTGTATTAATCGCTGTCTCTGCAGGGCCCCTGCAGCCCCTAAAAGCAGAACAAGTATCATCCAGGTTGTAAGTCGGTGAGGACCGGTTCTTTGTCTCCTGTCTGTTGTCCGGCTTCAAGCTCGGTGAATCGAGTTTTCTGCGTCATCTGTCTGTAGTTGGTTCTGCAGATTCTTCGTAGCTAACCCTGAGCACCCACTACCATGTGCCAGGCTCCCCTCTTGCCTGATATTCATGATGAGAAAACGTGGGCTTACAGACATTCATTTGCCCAGAATCACAGCCATATATTGCGTGGCTAGTACTTTGACTAGTCATTTACTTACTATAAGAATACAAAAAAAAGCAAGCAAACCAGCTAACAGTCAAATTGGAATCTGTACACTGTAGAAATATTCTATTTTTTTAAAAAGAACGTTTTGCACATTAATACAAGTGTTTCCATCCAGTCTGTGAACAGCTTACACTGTAAGGTTATTTTCTTCCATTTAATCAAATATCCATTGCCTGGCGTAATCACCAAGTTTGTGGATTCCAGTAAATTATTAAGCAAGCTTTATATCGCAAATTGTTCTTCCTGGTACAATTTATTTCTCATGTCTGCAGTGACTGAAGTGTACACACTTTCTCTCATGTCTTAGAGCACAATTTTCATTTAATTGTCTTTCTGACCGATATTTGTAGAGTTTCTATAAGTAAAAGCGTTCCTGAAGTATGGTGGAATGCATAGCTGCAGGGGATACAAAATCATGGTAATTTATCATTTGGCTGTTGTACAATCATGCACGCAAGTGTTTTCATTAGAAATGTATCCCGCTTTCAGGCCTGTGGACTTGACAAAGCCCGTATCATTATGCAGCCTTCGTACAAATAAAGGAAATGGCTGCATTCGCAAACTCAGAATAGGCACTTACCTTTTTCTTCTTTGCATGCAGGAAACATCATCAGGTCCAGGTAGAGCAAAAACATTTAACCAACTTCATACTTGGCGCCCCTGCACGTTTGTCGGGACATTGGTCGTCTCTTAGGATCTATGCCTAGACAGTTCTCTTGAAAGTAGTGTCCTCACCAGCCCTGCCCCAGGCTTGCGCTTGCTGAAATTCTATTCAATATTTACTCACTTTTTTTTTCATTTCCTACCCAAGAACGTGAGCTCTCCTGGTGCTCTGCAGACCCACCAGTTAGAACATAGCCTGGCATTGGTAGGTGCCCAGTAAGCATCATTGAATCAATGGGCACAACACCAGAATCCCTTTCTTAAATATATGGTTTGCGTGCATTGGAGGGTTTCCTCACACACGCTTGTCTTCCTAAGAGATCAAAGATGCCACTTGGTATGTCAGAGCTAGGATATTGGGGTTTGAGGCCCAAGACGTCCTTCAAGACCTGAATTCTTATCTGAAAACATTTTCAAGTTTTCAGTGTGGAGGAGGCGGTGGGCTCTGAGCACAGCTTACACTGAGCATAATAAGCACAGCACAAGAGTGGGATCAACAAAAATAAAAGTTTCATTTTTAACATGGGCAGGAGAGCTTTTTAGCAATTTGCGGAAACAAGGAATAACTCCAATTTTATGAAAAAGACAAGACCATCATACCAATGGTAAATGTGAGCACTGTTACATAGAAAGCTGAGAAGTGTTCTGCCTGTGAGTTGGTGTGTGTTTGAAAATCTAAACCCACTGCTTAAAACATTGTTTTAATTATTAGCTGCTAACGGCGTGCTCTGCTGTTCTCCGGGCCTGCCAGCCAAAAATGGGCTGTGCTCCATCTGCCTGCCTCCTCCCTTGCCAGAGCTGCCTCAGGCAGATCCTGTGATAGGGACACGGGATGTTGACTGCTCTGTCCCTCAGCCCCATTAGAGGAAGAATCAATCCCATATTATCAAAAACAAATGACAGATCACTTGAGATTTGAATTAACCTAAGTTGACACTATTTGCGAATGAAGATGTTTTCTTTCAGGCATGCGCGTTAGATATATGTATTTCCCAAATAAGCAGAGGTCAACCAGCAAACTGCTCACCCCCACATCCCAGTCCCTTGCTCCTTCCTGGGAGCCTGCTTGGGGCTCCTGACCCATGGCTGGGCCCAAAGGAAAGTGGTATGGGGGTGGCAGTGCTGAACCCCTCTGCTAAGTGACTAATTTGAGTCAGTAGAACCCCTGGCCCCAGGTCTGTAGTGAACATTTGGATTTGGTGGATTTAAATATCATTGCTGCCAGCTCTTTAATCTGGGATCAAAACAAGAAAAGCAGGAAAAAAGAAGAAAAAAAAGCAAATGTAAGATTTACCTCTGTGAGCCTGATCAGGGAGACTAGCTTGACCCAGGGCAAGATTATGTCTTTCCTAATCTTTTATAGGAACAAAAGCAGCTTTTTTAAAAGTCACCTCAGGAAATTTTTGAGTCCATATAGGTAATTATTTTCTGCTTAATTAAAATTTCCCCATCAATAGCGTAACTTGAAGTTGGAGGGCTTAAAATGCAAATTTCAAAACCGTTACCTTTTGATCAAAGATCTGCAAACGAGCCCGGGGCCAAATCCAGCACGCTGACTGTTTTTGTCAGTAATGTTGCCTTGGAACACAGCCACACCACCCATACTTTAGAAATGTCTGTGGTGGCTTTCGCACTGCAACACTGAAGTTCAGTAGTTGCGACAGAGACTATGGCCTGCAAAGCCTAAAATATTTGCTCTCTGACCCTTCACGGGAAAAGTTGGCCACCCCTGATTTGGGTAATCAACACATAAGCAGATCTCCATCCCTTTGAACTGCATGTTTATCTATAGAACAGTGGTTCTCCCTGGCTTCACCTGCCCTGAGGAGCATTTTTAAAAAACAGACCAGTGGAATCAGAATCTCAGGGGTAGGTACATGTTGGCATTTGTTAAAGCTCCAGGATGGAGAAGCAGGATGCTCTAGACCAGTGGTTCTCAACCTGTGGGGCGCGATCCCTTTGGGGGTCGAACGACCCTTTCACAGGGGTCGCCTAAGACCATCGGAAAACAAAAAGATATTTACGTTATGATTCATAACAGTAGCAAAATTACAGTTACAGAGTAGCAACAAAAATAATGTTATGGTTGGGGGTCACCACAACATGAAGAACTGTATTAAGGGGTCACGGCATTAGGAAGGTTGAGAACAGCTGCTCTAGAAAAAAAAGCCCAAAGAAATGGCGGCTGCTGGCGTTGCTCCATCTCTGCTGCGCTGGTCCTTTGCCGCTTGCCCCTGCAGCCCTGCACACCAGAGCCCACTGACTTAAATCAAGCCCTCTGCAGACTGAGTGGCTATAACTCTCACAGACACACGATGCGCCTCAGTGGCTGTCAATTCTCGCTGCACATCAGAATCACTGGGGAGTTAAAGAAAAAAATCCCAGTGTCCCCTTCCTCCTTCCCCTTCTCCATTCAGGCCTAAAGCCATTAGGTGACCACAGCGGGGTGAGGGTGTGGACAGCTTGACAGGGGAGTTACAGCCAAAAAGGGTGAGGAGGGGGTCTGCATAGCGGAAGGCATGCAGTGCAGATGGAGACCGGTTATACACAAGGGATGAACCAAATGAGTGAAAAATATTAAGGCTAATGGAAGCCAACCTTCTCAGCATTGGAGGAGGGAGTGACAACTGAGAAGGGAGAGGACTAAAATCAACTCTGGTGGTGGATAGCAATTGGGTGTATTAATGTGAATAAACCTATATTCCCTAGCTTTGGCCACTGAGGGCCTGAGGGCAGTGATGCCCCAATAGTATGAGCATACATAGCCCTCAGATCGAGGCTTTTAAATGCCATTTTTCACTAAAAGGAACCAATATTCTTTATAGGACTGTCTGCTGCTAGGACTGGGGGGTGGGAATGAGCAAGATGAGCCTGAAACACATTGTTGCAGAAAAACGTGTTCAAGGAATGATGAGGACGTGTCAAAAAGGATGCAGACGCCAGCTGGAAGGGTATCCCCGTGGCCAAATCGGGACAATTTGAGCATCAAAATGATAAATGATAGTAAAGGATTAAACCCGTTGAATAAAATAGGAACTCATAATTTATATTGATAATAAATTTAAAAATGAATCAATGGAAAGTTTAATGAGAAACAGGCAATTTACAGAGTTTCCAAGTGCCTACCTATAAAATGCGTATTAATTAGAAAAGAAGGGGAAATAGTGACGACTGTGGAGAAACCTGGCAGACACTCCTTTGGATCAAGTGACCAAAGTGAACATCGTCATTATGGGACACATTGAAATCACCTGATAGGATGCAATGAGACGAACACATCATTCTGTGATATTCCTGCCAAAGGTGCATGACCTCGATTTAATCATGAAAATACACCAGACAAGTCCAAATGGAGAGCTATGCTACAAAATCTTCAGGTGTCAAGGTCATGAAAGTCAATGACAGTTGAGGATTGTTCTAAACTGAAGGAGACCAAAGAGAACTGCCAACTAGATCCAACACTTGATCCTGATCCACATCCTTTCGCTACGAAGGACATTGTCAGAGCAGTTAGTGAATCTTGAATGGGGTCTGACCATGGGATGGTGGCAATGTAACAGTGTTACCCTGTGAATATACTGAGTGTGATGGTTGTGTTACATAAGGGGAATGTGCTAGAACACTGCTCCTCAAACTCGAATGTGCATACAAATCACCTGGGGCTCTTCTTAAAACGCAGATTCTGATTCAGTGGGTCTGGGTGGGGACTCAGGTTCTGCCTGTCCATCCAGCTCCCCGACAAGGCCCAGGCTGCTGGCCAGGAGACCAAACGCGAAGTCGCAAGGGCCTGGGGAACCTGTGGTAAACACTTAACTGTGTGCCTCCTAAACACCCACCTTCCCCCTTCTTTTGGTTCCAGACTCTGGTTTTCCTTTGGGAAGGATCCCCTCCCTGTTCTCTGTGCACCTGTTTTGGGTAAAATGGTCCTTAATGCTCAAACATGAGGCATGTGACCCGACCCAGTTCCATCCCATACCCTGGCAACTGTGAAAGGATCAAGGCTGGTCCTGACCAGCCAGGGCCGGTGAGATGCAACTGTGAGAGACCCGGTTGAGCTGACACATCCTCTATAAAGCTCTTACCTTCTGGAGCCTCCTGGGATTCCAAGCCTGGCAGAGGCTCGGGCCTTGCCTCCTGCCCTCTGAGTCCTGAAGGCCTCAAAGGCCTTTCTGCCCCCCATGTGACCACCACATAGTAGCTGTGTGACCTTAATATACTGAATTTGTGCCTCAGTTTCCCCATCTATAAAATGGAATACTGCCCACCCCACCTCAAAGGGTTGTTCTGAGAAGTGAATAGCATCCACACAAAGTGTCTTGCGCTGTACCTGGCTCAAAGTAGATGTGCAATACATTTTTAATTGTTCAGTTTGGCTTTTGGAGCCCATGACCCCACACAAAAAGTTGGGCTAGCATCTCACTGGCAGGTTTTAGGTCATTTTCTGTATTGAGAGTGGCTTAACATAGAGCTTAGGGACTCGGAAAGACGACAAATATTCTACTCGCTATTATGTTATTGCACCCTCTGGGCCCTGTCAATTCTTGCATAGCCTACCTACTCAATTCCTACCTAACTTGTTCCCATCATATATGGAGTTGCCTATATACATACATATCAAAAGGAAATAAATTAGCAACATGATAGGTGTCCCCAGTATGGTTTTCACAGGCCCAGTAATCGCAAGTTCTGGCCAGTGAGCAGAAATCCCTTTCGACTGTCTTTATTCTACTGCCATCCAGTGGCCAGCCGGTGCCACTGCAGCACTGCGGGCCGGATGTAGCTGAGTGTCTGTGTTCACACCGTGTTCCTCGGGCCCAGGAAGCAGCTCCTTGGGATCAAAGAAGTGCAGTGGACCGGTCTGCTTGAGTCTCCCCACCAGCAGCCAGGCAGGCGTCTGGGCATGAATCACCAGTCTTGACTTGATTTCTGTTTGATGAACTTTAAGGACACGTAATACAGGGCGACGAAGCCAACACTGATGCTGATGACGATGAAGTAGATGGCGTAGAGTGGGTACGAGTCCAGGTGCATGGTGCTGAGGATCTGGGGACACAGACATCAGTGAGCTCATTACAAAGACGTTCAGAGGGACGCCATCTACTACGAGTCCAAGGCCTCAGCTACTTACTATGTCTCCCCGGACAGGTATGGTGAGGTTGCCGACCGCCAAGTCGAAAGTTTGTCCTTTAAACTGAATCTGCATCAGCCCTTCGAAGCACCATCGGAGGAAGGATACTTTGGAAATCCACGCAGGCACTGAGGACAGTGACAGTCGCATTATTCACGCGGGCTAACCCCCTGCTCCCGGCTTAGCGTGCCTGGAGAGAGGGCTGTGGCCGCCCTGCCCGTGGGGAGGGAAGCAAGTCGCCTGAAGGAGCAGGGAGGGGAAAGAAAGGGCCAAAGGGAGAGAGGGCAGAGGGGCAGCTCGGGACAAGGACCGGGGGTGGGGGTGGGGGGGAGTGAGTGGGGGGAACAGGGGTGTGGCCAGTGGCTGCAGGGTCACCACACATTGGGCCATAACCACCCCTGAGAGGAATTAATTAGGCGTCCCTCCCAGCACGTGCTCAGCTCCCCAGAGCTGGTGGACTGTGGAGACTCAGCAGCCCCAAACCAGAGGCTTTAAGAGTCTGTGTCCTGACCCTGTGGAGGTATCATGGCACGGAGAGGAGGAAGCCATGAACCCCACCTAGGCGGGTCAGGAAGGGCCTGGCAGGAGACAGGAGCTGAGGAAGGTGTGGAACGGCGTCCTATAGAGAGGAAGGCATGGAGTGGGGGGGCTTCAGAAGAGCTGGGTGGGGGCAGCAGGCCGTGAGCAGCACCCCTCACCCTCCCACACCCTAGACTTGCATTTAGAAAGCTCAGTCTGCATGGGTGAGGGTTGAGAGGGAAAGGATGGGCCAGGGTACAGAGACTCGGCTATTGCAGTGGCCCAAGATCTGGTGATAAGAATAAGGCTAGGAGATAAGGCAACAGGACATTTCAGAAAGGCTTGGGAGGCAGAATGGACCTGGCTCACTGGAGACCTAGAGGGTGGGGGCGAGTCGAGGATGACCTCCAGGGGTCGGCTGGGGTTTACAAAAAGGTGCCATCTGCACTGTCTCGTGGAATTATTCCATTGGCACACAGGACAGCGGGCCAGGGCGCCTGCTCCCAGGAGGAACAACCTTGAGTTGGACTTAAATGGTGAGTTCTCATCTCCAGGCCAAAGCAGGCTTAATCCAGTCACAGTAGGCCTCCAAAAGCTTGACCAGGTATGGGGAGCAGGCCTCACCTGTCCACAGGTTGTCCAAGCTTATCATGAAGCCCCCGGTCAGGTAGAAGGAGTTGTAGAGAGCGTTGCCAAAGAAGGAAGACATGTGGAAGGTGGGGAGCAGGGCGGCAGCACACAGGGCCATGATCCTGCAGCAGAAGACCACCAGCCACACCAGCAGGAAGTGTAGCAGGAAGGGCTCCGGGCCCGGGCGCAGGTTGGCCAGCCAGTAGGTGGGCATCCCGTAGATGATGATGTAGGCGCAGTGCTCCGGAAGCTCCCCTAGGATCTGCAAAGAGTGGCCCTTGCAAGTATGTGGAGCCAACGCCTTCATCTGCCGCTACTTTGAACGTTTAAAGCGATGCCAGACTCCCTTCCCAGTAATGATCAGGCTACAGCAGGAGGGCCAGTGGGTGTGGGCATGTGGGACCCTCGAGCATGAGCTCACCGCTGGTTTCCCTCCATGGATGCCATGTGCTCCCTCTGGGACAGTTCAGAGCAGTTTTCTCCAGAGAGGCAATGGGTATTTGCTCTCATGAGACTGGTTTCTCACAGACCTAGTAGCTGTGTGGCTTTGAGACAGCCACAGAACTTCTCTGAACCTCTGCTTCCTTGCAATGAGGACAGTAACACCTGCCTGACCTGCTTCCTAGGGACATGGTGGGACTGGAGAGGTGAGTTATGCTAGATGTTCCCCACCTGTTCTTTTTAAAGTTTCTGCTGACCAGAAAAGTGTCATTCATGGTCCATGGTCATGGCCTTCTGGTAAATGTATTAAAAATACCAAGTCTCTGCAAGTCCCCTAGGGAATGTGGCATCTACAACTGCAGATGATGCCCGGACCCCTGGTTCAGCAAAATGCTTCTCTGTTACTTCTGTACGACGTGTGGTGTAGCTTTCTCCACCCCTACCCCCCACCTAGGGTGGTCACTCGCTCTCAGCCCTGACCACTCACCTTGGCAAAGAAATATGGACCAGCAGTGTATAGCCCGTCTTCCAGTTCATAGTAAAGCATTGCCCTCTCCGAGTGACCTAAAAAGGGGGAGAAAAGGAGAACAAAAAAGTGAAAATAAGTCGCAGTGTTTCTGTCTTTGAGTCTTAGGACAATTAAAAATAGTTATATTGCCTACATGTTTTATAGTTTTAAAAAATGGGCGGAGTAGAAACATCCTGATTTAGGTATTCGTCATTCTGTGACTGGGGCATCGCTGTCATGTATAAATGCTGCCAGGAGAGGAATGCCTAGGTCTCTTTGGTAATTTGCTTTCAGTGGCATATTAATAATACGTGAACTTTAAAAACAAGGATCTTTTTTTTTTTTTCCCACAATCATGGTGAAATTGTTCAGCAAACTCGTTTTCCCTGAGAGCTCGGAGCAAGACAGGTCAGCTCTGGACCAGCTCAGAGAGCTGCCAACACATGTGCTCCAGCTGCCCCAAGTGTAGGTCATGGGAGGCAGGTGACACTCACATTTGGCAATGACATCCAGGATCACGTTGAAAGGGATGAGAGCTCCGATCATGAACAAGAGGGCTGCTGTGTCCATGAAGGAGAGCTTGATGGCCCCATGGCCGTAATAGAGGAAGCCGATGACCAGGGACATTAGACAGGCCTCCGCCCCGTGGATAAGGAGGGTTGGCAGGTCTCGGAAGTCGTTGGAAATCTGACGACTTAAAAACAAACAAAAAAATAGGTGCCAAGGGAATAACATACACCCGTCCCATGACCTTAGCCATGTCATTTAATCTCTGTAAGCCTCGTTTTTCTCATCTGTAAAATGGGGATAGGCATGCCCACCTCACAGAGTTACTGTGAGGATCAAATGAGCTCACCCATGAAAGCGTCTGTCTCACAGTAGATATTCAGCAAATGATTACTTTTATCATCAATGTATTAATATCTACCTTGCAATTTTACTTAAAGAAGTCATCCTGAGGAAATAACCAATCAGGTACATAAAGAGGAATGTACAAGGATGTTGGCTGTGGTAACCTGTAATAGCAAAAGCCTGAGAATAATCTGACCGTTAATATGGACTCAGAGGGGAAATGAATTATGGCTAGATTGGAATGCCGAAGAAGACCTGACCAGGTGAGAGGTAGAGGCGCTCTTCTAAGTGAAAAGCGAAACAAAACAAACCAGTTTCAGGACAGTATGCAGAGTATGATCCCACGTACATATTAAATGTTTGTGTGCATGGAAACATCTTAGAAAGACCCACACCAAACACTTAGGTCTGGTTTCCTCTGAGGGCTGGTGTGACAGGGAAATTTCCCTTCCTAGGTGATTTCTACAATCATCTGGCCCATAAGGATATTTTGATTTTGTTTAAAGAATAAAAGTAACAGGAGTGTTCTGTCTCACGAGGAGGGTTGGTTCTGGTCTCTGTGGTGTGGGTTTTTCCCAGATGATTTACGTCTTCAAATTCATTTCAAATTCTACTTCCTCCTCCAAATTCACTTTAGATAGAAAGGGCTGAATTTGATACAACAAAGATTTTGGGGGTGGAATGGGGAGGTGGGAGGAATGAAATGGCAGACAATTACCGGATCAGCGTGGTGAACTGCTGCACTGGACCGGGCAGCTTGGTGGGAGTCGAGAGGTGGTCAGCGTTGCTCTGGGGGACCGGAAGTGCCAGTCTGTCAGGAGGGAGAGAGTCATGGGGGCGTGAAGGGGGCTGGGGCACCTCCTGCAGGGCGCTCTCTACCCTGGGCCATCCAGCCTGCCTTACCTCTCTGCACCAGCGCCTACGCCCAGCTCCTGGGCCTCAGCTCTCCACAGACAGTCATCGAAGCCACACACTTTCTCTCGAAACAAGGCTGCAAGTGCCTGCGCCCTCTCCCTGGCAGCCGCTTCCCGTTCTATGCTCCTCCGGTCGATGCTGGTCAGGTCCACTGTAAGCAGAGGATGTAGGGCCATGGGCGACCCCCGTCCTGCCTGTGCTCACAGGTAAGGAGCTCGGGTCAAGACCAGCCCACAGTGCTGGTCAGCCCTCCGGGACTCTGGGAGGTGCTCCCCACCCTCTGCAAGTCGACCATGAGGTGATGGTCAGAGCAGAGTGGGGCAGACAGTTGCCCAGGCTCCCACCTGCCACATCTACAGAAGCCTGCCTCAGGGGAAGGGCTGGAGGATCAGGAAGGGGAACAGAAGAGGCCCTGTGGGCACTGGCCCTTGGTCCCACCACCCTCATTATGGGGACGTCCCCAGGAGGCAGAAGGAGGCGTTGGACCTTTGGAACCAAGGGCTGTGGCACAGTTATGCTCTGGCTCCAACTCCAGCTGTCCAAGCAGCTTGTCCTGAGGACTCAGCCTCCCAGGTATGCTGCCCACGGGGAGAAGGTGAGCTGGCCAGGGCCCGGCAGAGCAGTCTGGACTCCTGGCAGTTCTAGTTCTTACTATCAGTTAGTAATTCAACTTCTTAAGCAGCCTGCCCAGATGGGGAGAATGTTTTGGCTGGAGGGTGCCAGGGCTGGGCCAACTATAAATAAAATTCTCACTGCCCCCAGAGGAGGGAGCCAGTGTGACAAGCTGGAGAGCAAGGCTGACCCTCATCTGCCTCCCTGTTACCCTGTGGGGACACCTGGTAGCCCCAGACCACAGCCCTCCTCTCACAGAGCCAATGTAATGATAGAAAGGCACCCCCAGGGCCCTCCTAGCCCGAGGGGGCATCCCCTTTCTCCATTCCTCCCTTGGCTGGGGGTTTCCTCTTAACCTCTCTGCCTCTTCCCTCCGCCCATTATCTCAAGGCAGGATAATGTCTAGGAGGAGTCTTGTGAACTGTGACATGTCCCCTCAGTTTGTGGGCTGGAGCTCAGAACGCCAGATTCTCTGGGCGCTGCCAGGCCCTACACCCCAGATTGGTGAGGGGCAGGATGTATAGGCAAGAGTCCCCACCAAAAAAAGGAAAGAAGGAAGGAAGAAGGAAGGGAGGAAGGAAGGGAAAAAGAAAGAAAGAAAGAGAAAGAAAGAAAGAAAAGAAAGAAGGAAAGAAAGTTATTTTTCAGATCTATTATAGGCATTTGACTTCTGGTAACCCCTCTCTGGGGTTACTGCAGTTTTTCCCTGGGGCCAGGTTGGCAGGTGCCCTCTGCCCCCTTATCTGGGAATGGCTGGCCTAAAGATGACACGCTGGCAGGAAGCCAGGCTAGCACCTGAGCACAGAGAGGGAGGGTGACCTCTATATGAGTTCACGCAGTGTGAGGCTGGCGGGTGGAGAGAGCGCTTGTCCTCCTAGGGGAGGGTTGGAGGGTGGATGCTGGGAGGAGGGAATGGGAACAGGACTAGGAGTCAGGGTGGGGGTGGCACGCCTGGTGTAAGTCCCAGTTCTGCGCCTTATGGCTGTGCAAGGTGTTTAACACTTCCGATTCCAGTCTTCTCATCTGTAAGGATGAAGATGACCTTGTCCTGGCAGAGTTGTGAGGGTCAAAGGGCCACCCTCTTGTGGCATGGTGCCTCCGGACCCAGTGTCTGCCCTCAAGGAGCTGGTCCCTGTCCTCATGTTTATGGTGAGGCCCTTGCTATACCAGGCCATCCTGGGAGGAACGCTGGGGTGCCGGCTATCTACGGGGTAAGCCACGACTGCTGCTTCCCCCAGCCCTGGTAAACGGTGCGGCCTGCCCAGCAGCCACTGCATTCCTCAGCACTCAGGATCCGGGCACCTGCTTTCAGGGCAGGCACCTGGAAAGGAACTGTCCCCACAGGAATGAAGGCAGTGACTCCCGTCTCACCTGAGGGCCTATGCTGAAGGTTCAGAACCCCAAGCAGAAAGGCATCTCTGGTGCCGACAGAGCAATTTGCATATCTAGAGATGCATTGGTCACACCAGAAAGGCCCTGAGGGGGCCTGCGTGCCCTGGGACCCCCTCCACCACCCAAGGCCTTCGGGCTCCTTGCCTCAGTGTAGCTTTAAGATTTCCTGGAGGCCTCCCGATCTTGACTATCCTGTTTGCCTACAGTGTCAATAAAGACCACAATTCTAGAAATTGATCCAAACTCTCTTGGATTATATCCCCTCCAGTGTGGAGCGCTCCAAGTTTCTTATGTACCGTGCACACAAGGATGGCTATGTCAGGAGCTGGTTTTTTTTCAGGTCCTCATGTCTAGCATTTGATGCTTGGCACTGGCCAAGGTGACACACGTGCTACACCCCATCCTGCCCATACCCCCACATCCTTGGTCCTGCTCTCCTGAATCTTTCCACCAGGCTCTGGCAGGGTTGGAGGTGTGGGATAGCCTGTGTCCCAGGCCACAGGCCAGGCTGGCTCACCGTAGAAGTCGGCAGGGTTGCTGAAGCGAGGACAGGGATAGCCGACTGCCGTGAAATACTGGACCATGTGCTTGGCTGCCCCCAAGTAGATGGTGGTGCCAGACGTCATCAGGAGGACCAAGTCAAACAGCCTGAAGATGTCCGACCGAGGCTGGTGGAGGGAGATGAGCACCAGCCTGTTGCCTTTGGCTAGCCTGGACAAGGTTTTCACCAGGTTGTGGGCTGTGAAGCTGTCGAGCCCAGAGGTGGGCTCATCCAGAATGAGGATTCCTTCCCGACAGAGACAGAAGCCTGGTAAGTCGGCAGGCAGAACTCGGGGGGACACAGGCCCCCCATGCCCCACCCGGCCCTCACCTGGGTTCCACAGAAGCTGCACCCCAATGCTGACTCTCCGCCGCTCGCCCCCCGATACGCCCCGCACGTAGGTGTTGCCCACGCAGGTGTCGGCACACTGCCGTAGCCGCAGCTCCGCGATCACGTCGTCCACCTGAGCGAGGGTGAGAGGAGCCCAGGGCCTCAGCGGTCACCTCCACGGGCCTCGCCAGACATATTTTGCCCCAAAGTATAAAAATGCCTGCTCTTCCGGATGGGTTTAAAGCTCCAGCCTCATTGCACTGTTTGTGTTTCCCTGATGCACTCTTTGTTTGCTCCCCGATTCTGTGCACACCTCCTGAGTAGCTCCCACATACTGCATGTGCTGGGAAGGTAGCCAGTGTTCTGGGGACAAGACAGTTGGGCTCCCTGCTCACACGGAGGGCCACAAAACAAGTAAACAAATACTCATCACACATTTTGTCACCTGCCATGAAGGGAACCAACTGGGCTGCGATGGCTCACCGAGGGCTGCGGGGCTTTAAAGGAAGACAGAAGGGCTGAACATACGGTGGAATTTTCCAGATGGATGGATGGTGAGCTGGGTTGCTCAGATTTAACCTGTGGCTGGGCCCTGAGGCAGGGATCGGGAAGAGGGGAGAGGGAGGATGTCACGGGGTCACCAGGGTCAGTTAGTTACCCTTTTGTCACGCTGGGCCTGGGAGAAGGTTCTGGGCAGGCGCAGCTGGGCAACGAAAGCCAAGGTCTCCCGGACGGTCAGGTTGGGGAGCAGCTGGTCGTGCTGGCGCACGTGGGCTACAGACTTCCTCACCAGCTGAGGTGTGCTGGGCTGCCCGTTGATCCAGATTTGGCCTGACTTCATCTTGCCATGGCCTCGCCCGGTGATTACATCCAGCAAAGAGGATCTGCCACAACCTGCAAAGCCACCAGAGATGTCCCTGATATCAGGTTCTACAGGGGCCAGCCTGGAAGGCACTGCTGCCTGCACACTCTCCAGTGACCCTGTACGGCTCTGTTTTCACAGAAGCGATTAGCCCCTAGGGATGCCCTGGCTGAGGCAGCCCCAGAAGCCGGAGCTCCAGGCCTTATGCCCACAACCAACTTGAGCACCCTTGGGGTGCTGGAGGTACGGTGATGCTGGGGTTGAGGCCAGGTCAGCCAGTGGCTGCATGGCAGGATAAGGATGGCTGCCACAGGCCTGCCTGTGCCTGGAGCGTATGTCCCCTCCCTCCAAAAGCAAGGCTGTCATTAATCACACTGTGAAGCTGAAGTATTCTGGGCTGGCAAACATGCCCGCAACATTTCATCTTTCAACTCATTTGGCTCAGAAGCTGGCATCGTGGGAAGGACTAATTTGGAGAATTAATAGTTTGTCTTTTAAAAATGCAAAAGTGAATCTATTTTCAGAAACAAGGGAGAAAAAAAAGTAAAGAAGTAATAGATGTGGAAATGCCTTTAAAACTACAGCCGTGTACACATGTGTTCTGAATTTCTCTCCACCCTCTACACGCTCTTATTTTTATCAGTGGTACTTTTTTATTCTTTTTCTCTCTCTCTAAAAAAAATGGCCCCTTGCACATAAATTAACACCATCCACTTCTGAGTGACATAGTGATTGCTCTTGATGTGGGGAAGTAAGTGTCGGATTGCACCAGGTTTCAAATGCATTGGATGAGACTCTTCCTTTGACAGCCATGTAAGCTGTGAATGAGAATTGGGCTCAGGCTCTGAGAACACCTTCTTGCAAACAAGCTGGGGAGGATCTCTGTCCAATTCCCCCAGGTGGGGTATTGGTTTCCTTACTGTAAATTCCTCTTGGAGAGCAAATTTTCCAAGTTGTTTTCAAATAAGGGACGTGCCAATACACATCATGTGACAAGTCCTCTCCACATGCCAAGTACCTCCATGCCTCCCTCTCCTCCCCACCTCCCCACGTGCAAAAAAACAAAAATCAAGAAGCCTTCCCCACGGATCCCTTCTGCGTAGGGACCACAGGTTCTCAGGGTGGAAAGGGACCTGCGCGCTGCCTCTTGGGTGCACCTCCTTCACGGTCCCTGAGAACGTAAGTGGAGCAAAGGAGCCAGGAGAGAACCCAGAGAGGTGGGCCCTGGACCTGCCTCCTGCTCTGCCTTGGACACCAGATCCAGGCCCTGAGAGCACAGGGGACGTTGCCAACACCACAGGGACTGTGGGAGTCCCAGTCAGGGAGGGGGAAGGCCACATTTCCTTAACAAAACTTTGTGAGAAGTGTGAGTGGCCTTTCCAGCGCTTGGTTTGATTGGGGAGACCCTCACTAACCAAGAGCAAACACCTGCCAGCATTCAAGACCCTTATAAAGTGGCTTGAATCTCCAAAGCCGGAAATTCACGTGGGAAACGCCTTTGGCACTGCTGATTCTATAGAAGCAGCTAAAATGTCTCGGACTATTTTATTTCACTTTTTAAAAATTATAGCCATCATTCTATTTTTTTTTCTGTTTTTGTGAGGGTATTTTTGGTGCATGGAGTTAAAAGTCACAGGAAGTTATTATTGATAAACCTTTCCAAGAAATCATTTAAATAATTTCAGCCAAGTAAACCTGAAGCTAAAGAACGCTGAACCTCCAATGGAGAGGGTTCCGTGTAAGCTCTCCGAGCTTCACTTTCCTTAGCCACAAATCAGGAATACTAACTGCTACAAGGCTGCGTGTAGCGAGCATGCAACTATGATGACTCTAAGGCTTTGTGGAAGCGCCTGGTAAGGGCCTGTGTCCCCTAGATTCTTAATTCATGAAGAGAAAGCAGATATAACAAGAAAAGCCAAGAGGGGTTACAAACAAAAATAAAACTGGCCTATGCAGCAGCTACTTTTTCGTTGTTTCAATCAGAATTGCAGGGGCATGGCCATAAGCAGGTGAGATTGATTTGGTGGGGTTGTGTCAGCTATAAGGTGCATTTACACACATCATCTCATTTGATCTTTGGTTAGACAATAAACAGAACTTCCCTATCTGTCGACTATAAAAATTTGGAGCAGATGTTCAAAGAGTTGAGTAATCTCCACTTCTGGAAATGATTAATTAAGAAGTATAAAGGGCTCTCTCTAACACTATGTAAGGAAGAAATGCCTTGATATGAGATCTTAATCATGAGACCAAAGTTCTAGTTCTAGATCTGCATTAAATGTTAATCACTCTACTTCTCTAGACTTCACTCTCATCTGTCAATGAAGGGGTGTGTGTGTGTGTGTGTGTGTGTGTGTGTGTGTGTGTGTGTGTGCACGCGCAAGCAAGCGCGCATGCATGCGCATGCGCAGAGGCAGGAGGACACTGAAAATATAGAGGGCTAGATCATCTGAACACCCTCCTCTAAAGATGCTCCCATGCTGGTGAGGAGAAAGAAAGGTAGAAGACAATCACGAGAATGAACGCTGTTGTCCGAGCCCCCATTCAGCTCTGGCACTCTATAATATTAAATCTGGCCTGCAGAAGTGACTGCTTGAGGCACTGCAAGAATCTGAATCTGTGCAGGTAGTTGAAGGTTGCGCACAGGCTTGGAGGGCTGTGCCTCCCCACTGTCTGACCATCACTGGGAATCTAGTTGTGGGGGAACAATGAATGAGTGCTCCTTGTGGTGGGGGAGTCCCCTGGAAAAGACATTCAATTCTAAAGCTGCCTGATGATCTTGGGAATGTGTTTGGCTCTCAGTACAGGTGTTAACTAAGGACAGGAGCTTTGGCGGTCCCTGAAGAGGCACACTCCTAATTCTGCGCTCAGGATTCTCAGCCAATACCTGAGAGCTGGTAAATGGAGGAATGGAGATTTGAACCCAGGTCTGTCTGACCCAGAACCTGTGCTCACAACCACTCGGCTATAATATTCTATTAGTCAGCAACAGGTGCTGTAAGAAGCATCCGTTTGTCCAAGAGACCATTCTGCACCCCATAGCCCCGCTCTTTGTCCTTAGTGGTACCTGAGCTCCCTATGATGGCCAGCATCTGCCCACTCCTCACTTTGAAGCTCAGGTTCTGGATGCCCAGCTCGCAAGAGTCCTTGTGAGTTGTCCAAGGCATCTTGAACTGAGCCAGCTGCTCAAACCAAGGCACCTGGGAGGCCATGTCCACCTGTCGGGAGACATTGGAAGTTTCCTCAGAAGCTGAATGGCTCAGGCGCTTCGGTGACTTCTGCTTAGCTCTCTACAGGAGACATCCTCCTGCGGATACACAACAAGCCTGAGGGGCTCCCCACCCAGGGTTGGCCAAACATGGGAGCTGGACATGGAAAGCATGTGCAATAGCAGAACAGAAATAAAAATACAACATGAAGCAAAATGGTGTCCTCATTCAATAATAATAGTAATTTACTAATAATTTACCAAATATTTACTATGTACAATGTGTTGTGTTAATTTATATTCATTATCTCATTCAATCTTCATTGCAAACCTATAACATAGACATGATTATAATCCCTGTTTTACAGATGAAGCTCAGAGCAGTTAAGTAACTTGCTTATGGTCCCATAGCTAGCAATTGGCAGAGCAGAGAAAGGCGATGGCATGGCTCATTAGCCTGTCCTAACTCACATCCGTGGGCAGCCAGACTTGAGCCTCGGGGGTTCACCATGCCAGGCCCCGCCATATTCCATCTGGGCCACCTGGGGTCTCTCCCTGAGGAGGTGTGGGATATAGGGGTCTTTGAACCTGACCAGGGGCTTCCTGAGCGCCTCTGAAAGGCACTTTCGCTCTGAATGTTTTATTAGCTCCAGTGACAGTACATTTTACCAAAAAAAGAATTATAAAAATGAAGGAAAGCTGCATAGTCTGTAGTTTAGTTAATAGTAGCTTACCACTGTTAACACCTTAGTTTTGATAATTGTGCTGTGGAGAAGCAAGATGTGAACGTTAGGGAAAGTTGGACAAAGGGTAATCGGGACTCTGTACTATTTTTCAGCTTTTTCAAAAGTCTAAAATTATTTCAACATATCAAGTTAAAAAAGAGTTTTAGAGATTTCCCCCCCCACAGGTTCACACAGTTTGCTTTATGTTTTATCAGAAGTCTCATTCTCTTTTTCTACCTCACAATGTCCAGCTACCGCATGTGTAATTGAGGGAAGTCTCCATGCTACTTGCACCAGTCATGCGAGGCAACACCATGGACCGGACTCTGTCTTTGGGAGCAGAGGGTCCCCAGGGCAGGCTCGCCTTTCCCTTCCACTTGGGGGATTGTTTGGCCTTCCCTGCCCACTCCTCCCTTCTTGTTCTCGGGTATGCCTCTACCTGGTAGCTGAGGTCTCGAACCTCCAAGGTGTTGGACTGGCCACTGTAGGTGAAGTACAGGCTGTTGTCACTTTCAGAGGAGAACAAGCTGTCCTGGAGGCCCTGAAGGGAGACATGACAAGCTGAGGGGCTTCTTCAAAAGCCGCTGAGGACACAGGAGAAAACAGAGGGAGGAGACATGGGAGGTGAGACGGGATAGTGTGGCTGAGGTCCCGAATTGGCGAGACGTGGGTTTGGGCAGGTGGAGCCCAAGGGCCCTGAGAAAATCTGAGGATGCATCTTCTCTTCCCTGCAGAGGGAGAGAGCTTTAGGACGTCCCCCCCAGAGAACCTCAATCACAGGCTGCTGGAACCTGAACCCTCGCTGCCTACAGTGGGCGAGACCCAGTCTCTGGACTGGAGACAGCGTGTGAGCCTCTAAAGCGCTGGGAAGACCTGGGCTGGGAACTGGCCTTTCACTTTCTCTTTCCTCATCTGACTTCATATCTTCTAATACCAAAGAGACTTTACGTATCCAGTATGTTAGAGGAAAACAGCCATCAACAAGCTGACGCTCAGCATTTGTGAAGACACCATCCTTAGAAAAGTCGCATCCTATTTTGATGAGTTTTGCACAACACAGCTATTCAAAATGCTGTTGGGAGATTTCAGAGAAAGTCCCTTTCTTCTTCTCCTTCTCCTTCTATCTTGTTGCTATTGTTGGGGTGGTGTTATATTGGAATGTACAACAAGCAAATCAATGTTTCATGGTATCAGTTCATACCTTTGAATGGTGTTAACCATCTGCAGATCTGAATTCCTTCTTTTTTTATCAACTCAATCACTTAAATCATTGAGGCCCGAACAAGGAAGAAACCTGCCTAGTAAGGACTCTGTTTTTAATGCATTCAAATTTCCTTCCATTTCTGTAGCACAGGGAAAACTGTGTATTCATTAATGAATTCCTGTTGACTCTGGACTTCTTCCCTCAGAGCTGCCATTCTCACACTGATGTGTTCCTTCAATCAATCAATCAATCAAACAAACTCCAACTAACACTTATTGGGGGAGCTCACATCACGCTTCAGGCGTGGCGTTTGGGATAAGGCAGTCTTTGGGAAGATTAGATTTTAGTGGACGAGACGCGTGATTAGGGGGATAGAGCAAGACAGGCCAGGTGTAGCAGCAGGGTGATCTCCAGCACCCAATCAGGGGTGTATTTCCACTGTGTACACAATGTGCTGTATGTGAAAATATTGTGGCTTATGACCTATGTAAAAATCACATCCGATAGCCTGTCAAGGCTGCCCTACAATGGTGGAGGTGAGAGAGAGGTCCTTGGAAAGGACATTCCAGACCAATGGAAGTAGAAGGAGATGAAAACAGGTGGCAGATGTGGGTCCACTACGAGGAGTCCCCAGACTTTCCGGGAGAGTATGGAAACAGCAGGCCATAGCTACTTACCTTGTTTAGTGTGTGAACTATTATCATAAATATCATAAATTATACAGGAAAACATGGAAAAGATAAGCAGCCAATTCAGCAGAAGGGCTGTTTCTGGGGAACAGGGAGGGATACATGGGAGTGGGGGTGGAAGGGGTTGGGTGCTGGGCTACAGGGCTCTTGGTAATCAGTGGTGAGTACATGGCAGGGGGTGGCGGGGAGCAGTTACTAGTCTTTAAACTGAATGGTCTGAAATACTTCAAAATACGTTGTCAAGTTGAGAGGGCCAGCCTGTGAGTAGAACTCCAGGTTTCCACTCCCACCTTGCCGCCCAGCTGCCAGTGCCTCCAAGGTGGGAGCCAGAAATGGAGGTTGAGGAGGTGAGAGGGTCTGTGCCCTCAGAGATGGAGAAAGAAACTCCTGGAAGGATCCGGAGCCGCTCGGAAAGCTGCTGGATTCTGGTAGGTCTGTGGTCCTTACCCTCCCTCACCACCGCTACCACACCAGCACTTGCACTACCTAGTTTTACCATGCATTGGGTTGTCGGAAAAGTCAGGACGTATTTTTTCTATGTTTTTCATTGCAAAAATGCGCCATGACTTTTCCGACAACCCACTGCTTTGTTCAAGTATCAGAAATTCTATCAGTTCAAGTATCAGAAATTCTATCTCTATCAGAAATTCTATTACGAGACTCATTTGGGCTAACATGCACCCTGTTTGTTTTTTGTTTTTAAACAGCAAACACCTGCAGGAGGGATATTAGTCCATCGGTGTAAGGCGTGTGTTAGCTCAGAAATTGCTTCTGCGAACAAACACCTGGCCCCCTCCAGGTTAGATTTCAGGGGAGAAGGGCCGCTGAGAAAGGAAGGTTGGACATTTTGGAATCTGGAGCAGTATGTGGAGGCGGCCTCAAGCCCAGGGAGGTTCCACGTTCCAGGTAGGTACTCTGAGGAGGTGAAGGGTGCTGGGGCCCAGGGGAATGAGGGGTCAGAACAGGGAGACAAGCAAAGGGAAGGAGAGAGGTCCGTGCCTCCTGCTCCTCGTCTCCCCTCCTCCTTCACCCTGGGCAGGTGTGGGCCAGTCTGGGACCCCAACCAGCTGCCTTCGGGAGCGCCACAGGCGGCTCAACTTTCGGAGGAAGAGAATTCGTGGCTGGGTTGGGGACAGCTTCTGTTCCATTTTGAAATATTTTCCTTGGCTCCCAGGAAGGATTTGTTAGACTCTTCCTGAGGTTTTGACAAACTCTCTGTATTTCTCAAATACTTAAATATCTATTCAGCTGACATCTTAATCAGTATGACTGTCAGTACATCATTTGAATTTCTGACAGGTGACACCCAAAAAAGCAAAAGCAGATTTATTTGTAGGTAACCAGCTCGACTCCTGCTGGGTTACACTGTAATTTCTCCTCGTATTAACTTCTGATCAAATTCCTGAGTCAGAAGCGTAGAGAGGAAGGAAACTCAGGAGCACAGAGCACAAGGTCCTGGTTCTAAGACGAGAAGCCTGGGCCCGGGAAAAGTGGTGACATGCTGAGGACTCCTGCCTGGGGAGACACACAGGGTTTGTTCTTGGCTAAGGTGGCGAGCCCAGGCCTTTTCTAAAACGTTCAGACTAGATCTCACACAGCTCTGCCGTGAGACCTGGGTGCCTCTCATCCTCCCCTGGCTGTGATCCTGACCATAGACTGAGGAGTCTGTGGGCCACAGGCACTTGCTACTCCAGGTAGCCAGGACCCCCAAATTCCCAGTAAAAATGGCCAAAGGCCCACTCTCAAGGCCTGTGTGGACTTTGTCCCAGGCCCATCCTCCTAAGCACTGGCAGCACCGCACAACTGGGCACCCCAGGCCAGAGGGGCATTTGTCGGTGGAAAGTGCAGATGGAATGTGGGTGAGCAGGATGGGGTGACCACGTAGGGGTGTGTGAGGTCACGTGTGGAGCTGGGGTTGGGCAGAGAAGGGGGACAGGCTGTGGCTTGGGCTGGAAGCTGGCTCCTCCTGTGCTAACACATTCTAGCTACCCCTTCAAGAAGTCCTAGAATTTCTCAATTACACCTGACCTTCTAGGTTGGGGGAAGGTATATTAAGGTAAGAGGGTAGAAACTATTTAACAGTTCGTAGCTTGAGTGATAACTTGACAATATCTAGACATATGATACAGAGCTCTCTTCTTCTTGTTCTCTTGGTGCCTTGAGTAGCAGGATGGGAGAGGAGAAAATTGAAAATGACAAGGATTCCTGCACACATTCCTGGATGTTGGGTTCGGGCAGTTCTTTGTCTCTCAAGCTATGATGGTTGAACTGGCAGACCTTCCAGGCAGAAAGTGTCCCTAAAACCACCTCTGACTTATGTCCTACTCAGGCTGTGAGCATTGTAGTCATGGCTCCTAAGAGTCACTTTCTGGAGGGCATTGGCCCCGCTGGGTATACCCAGAGCTTGTTGCTATCTGCTGCTTCTGCAGAGCTGGCTAGGAATGGTGGTTTCCTTGAGCCTGGCTGAAGTCAGGTGCTAAGAACTCAAGGCCAGCTCAGGTGGCCTGTGGCTTTCTCTGTTGGATATGAATTCCTCAGTGATTTTTGTCTTTCTCTCCCTCTTCCCCACAGCAGGTAAAGACAGAAAGGTAGAGTGGGGATAAGGTGACGGTGGGGATCTATTTTTTTTCTACCTTCCAATTTAGCCTCCTGCTTCAAATCCTGCCCGCACCCCGACTTTAGCCAAAGGCCATTTCTCAAGTAAGATGAGGGGTCCAACCTCTCGGCCCCCTGGCTAGCGCCGGTTCCTTCCAACTCTCCTTGGGATCTTACAAATGCTTGCTGCAGCCACATTTTGAACATCAATTCTGATGTTCCCATAAACGCCACCTGTGATCCTGTCTCATCATCTTAGCGCCACTGAGACTCTGAGCTTGACAGCCACACAGAGGAGATATTGCCGAGTCCCTGGTGTGTGTGAGTACATTTCTGCGATGGAGTCTCATTTGTAAAAAGCTGGATCAGTCCGAGTCACCAACAAGAACATCATTTCCTTGTAGGAGCACACCTCAGGACAGGAAGTGACCGCAGAGCTCCCCACCCCCCACCCCAACCCCTAACCCCTGAATCGGCTCCCTTCAGCCTTTTGATGCCCAGGAAATAAAGTGCTACTGCCATGTTCTCACTCTGCTTGTGGTCCCGGTGGTGAGTTAGGACAAAATGTCCCTGAGGAAAGAAAGAAAGGTCCAATTCATCCCCACCCACCAGGACTGAGGTGACGCCCCATCACTCACCGAGGCATCCTGGGTAGCAGCCCTAACCCTCAGCCCCCTCTCCGCTGGGGCCTCCTCAGCCATGGGGCCCAGCAGCGTCTCTGCTCCTTTGCTGCAGCTTCCTTCGGTCCTGAGCTGCTGCTGGCCAGTGCCAGTGTTCTCGCTGTTCCCCAGAGCTGAGCAACCTCTGGCCCTCGTTTGATGAGCCACCGTCTGCCTCCCAGCATTCCTCTCTGGCAAACCTTCCCACAAACACAGACTGTGTGCTCTGCCCACTGCCAAGATAATACACACACTCTGGCTAAAGGTACATCAGATAATGGCATCTGCGACCAAACCCTGTCCCGCCGCTGGGAAGGCCTAAGGAGAAACTCCGGGACCAGGTGAGGAGCTGGCAGAGCAATCTGCTGCTGCCTCCTCGGCTGAGACCTCTCCAGGGAGGGTCAGGCCGGAAACCTCGCCAGTCTTTGCTGCCTGTTGATCATGAATGAACTCCCATCTTTGACCCCCGTGGGGTCCTCAGGACTCCAAATGAACAGAGGCTCCCAGTTCTCGCCAGAGGAGATTCCCGCAGCTGCTTCAAAGCCTCGACACAGCCTGGGTGTGCTCCATGCCTCTTACAGTGTCAGGTAAGGCGGTGCTTCTTTGGCCTGCTGGGAGCTTTGATCTGTGGTCAGGTCGGGCATGGCCCGAGATGACTGGACCTTTCACCCTCTCTGCTGGCTTTCCTCACTAATGGGGGGCATGGCTGGAGGCTTTCACTCCCTCTTTAGTGGACCCAGGTGGAGAGAGGAAAGGACAGGGCTGCCAGTGGGAAATGGGGAGCAACGGGGGATGGCGCCTCCTCCTGCCCATGGCAGGACCTGGAAGCCATGCCAAACATGGCAGCCGTGCTCTGCCTCATGCCCCTGTGTCCCTTGCCCCTTCCCGCTGTGACACCCAGTGTACAGCCTGCTTTATATGGATGGAGAGGGCTTGGGTGTGGGGGTGCTTGCAACATGAGGTGTAATGAAGCCTGGTGAAGGAATGCAGGATTCACCTCAGGAATAAACAGTGTCCTGTGTGCCATCTCCCAGCCAGCCAAAGAGAGCTGGCACCCAGAGCAGCTGCCAGGGGGATGCTTTACGTTAGAGATCTTCTTCGGTCACTGCCCACCATGAGGAGGGCCCTGAGGCTAAAATACACTTAGGAACCTGTCCGGAGACAACTGGGGTTAGTGCTGGGGGGCAAGGGTGTGTGTGGCCCCTTCCAAGGCCCCATGCTGCCTTTTCCCTCTTGGGGTTTCTTTTAAAGCCATCGCGTCGGGCCCTGGTGGGACATCGCATCTTGCCGGCAGCAGTGGAACAGGCAGATCCTCAAAGATGTCTCCTTGTACATCGAGAGTGGGCAGATCATGTGCATCTTAGGGAGCTCAGGTAAGCTCGGGAAGGAGTGCTTTAAGTCCTCAATGAGCATTCAGAAAAGGCTGGGACTTGATTGGAATACTGCATTGAGGAAACAGGTTTACATTGTAGTCAAAAGGCCACAACTTTGATATTAGAATGAAATCTAATGACATGTCTGACCGTGAATGGAACCTGGTACAAATGTCAAATCTTTAGAAAGATCCTTGAACTAGAATAAAGTCTGGCCTAACGTGTAACTTAATTAATGTTTTCAAAGTACGGAAAGCACCTAGCACAGCGCCTGGCATATAGGGGTGCTCAGTAAACACAATTTGTCTGATCTGTATCTTGCCTAGAGATAGGAAATGGAATCAAATAAACTCAGTGATGCCCATTTAAGTCCCCAGATTCATTGGTTCTTTTTTATCATGATGTATTTCTTTTAAAAAATTTTATTGGGGAATTGGGGGAGGGGGACAGTGTTGGGGAGTTGGGGAAGTGGAACAGACAAGTTGCTGTCCTTTTTGTTCTTCAGTCTAGTTGTGGAGGATGTCGCTCCACTGGCCCATGTTGGTATTATCATTGCACTCTTCCTGGGTAAGGCAGATCGGTCGCCAGCCTCTGGATGGCCGCTCACGGCAGCTCACGCCAGCTCACGCCAGCTGCCGGGCCGCTCATGCTGGCTGCCAGCCACTCATGGTAGCTTATGGCAGCCCACTGCAGCAGGGGCTGCAGCCTACGCCGTCGCCGGCGACTCAAGGCAGCCCAGCTCCAGGTTGAGCTGTTGTTCAGCATCTTAGCTATAGAGGGTAGTGTCACTGACCCATGTGGGATCTGAACCAATGGCCCTGCTGCTCAGAGCTGGCGTCCCAAGCCAACTCCTAACCAACGCGCCACTCGACCGGCCCTATCATGATGTATTTCAAACATACAGGCAAATATAGAGGCTAAAATAAAGAATGTTCATGTATTAACATCCAGTTTTATAAATCTTAACATCATACCATATACCAGATCCTTTTTTTTTTTTTTTTGGGAATTAGATCTTAGAGATTGCACTGAGGCTACCTAAGAAGCCCATTCCCCACCTTATCCTTTTCCTCTTTCCTGGGAGAACTACATTTGAGCCTGAACTCAGTGTCTGTCTTTGTGTCCCTACATCAAAGCCATTGTCCTGGGAGGGTGTGGCCTCCAGCAAGGCAGCTCCTTGGCTGAAGGCAATGTCCTGTGAGGGCCACAGCCGTGAGTCCTCAGCGGCTGGGGGATGAGTGCACTGGCCCCGAGAGGGGCTGTGTGACACATCATAGTGTCCAGCACTTTAAGTAACCCCGTACATTTTAAGGTTATGATTCTGACAGATTGGCTTCACAGGCGTCTCTTGATTGAGTTCTTGCTTGCAAATGGTTGACATGTACTGCCCCTCTTCGCTTCCATTACTCTTTTTAATAGAGCTGGGTAGTGTAAGTCTGTGATGAAAGCGAAGCATGACCAGCCTCTTTCAACCCAGGGAGTTAAATCCACAGCCTCGCCCCTGCTAAAGCAGCTGGACAACTCGGGGTGGGGGTGGGGCAATAGTAGTGTTAAGATTAAATGAAAGGAAATTCACTAAAACTGTGAACCCTTTCCTGAGATTTCCTGTCAGTTTCTATTTCTACTTTTTAACCATCTCTAACTATCTGCATGTACTGTGTACCAGCCAAGGCCATTCTAACTTCCCTTTTGATAATTATAACATACTTCCTTAGAAAGAACAAAAGCTGAGCTATCCCTGTAATAATTTGTTACTTGTTGCCTTTCTTGTGTAGGATAAAAAAGGGTGGCATGTAGCAAGCACATAACAAGGATTGAACCCATCTTCTCAGAAGCGCACCCCTCAGGCCAATGTCACACTTCTTGCACGTCTCATCAGGACAGTGGGCAGGGGCCCTTGATCTGGGAGCTCATGGGCTGGTTTCCGATGACACTTAATCACGGTCTTATGACAGTGTCCATCCTTTTATACTGGACATGAATTCACAGTAGACTGCAAGTTCCACTAGAGCAGGAGCTTTGTCTTCTTTTTTTTTTCCTGCTGTGTCCTCAATAACTAGAGCAGAGCTGGCCACACGGTAGGTGCTTAATAAATGTTTGTTGAATCAAGGAGTAAATCAATTATATGAATTATTCTTAGCATTTCATAAAGTGACATGATTTCGTTAGTGTCTTATCTAGAGCAGCATTGCTTATCGAATCTTATTTCATGAGGCCAAAGATGACTTAAAGTGTTCAAAGTCTCACTAGTGAATGATCGAGCGTGCAAGCCTGCCTAAGGTCACCCAGCACTCCAGGGAAAGGTAACTTTACTGGACTCATTATTTGCTATCGATTAGGACCTAGGCTCTGGGCTGCCTGTTCCCTTGCAGAACACTATTTGGTTACCAATGATTTCTGTCCTTGTAGGAAAGATAACCCCAAAGGTCATGGTTTTATTGCCCTGTACGACATTAACCTTTTTTGGTCTTCTTTTTTGTTGTTGTTGTAGTAAAATACACCAAAAATGTACCATCTTAACTATTTTTAAGTGGACAGTTCAGTGGAATTAAATACATTAATATTGTTGTGTAACCATCAGCACCATGCATCCCCAAAACTCTTTACATCTTGTAAAATTGAAACTCTGTGCCTGTTAAACAATAACTCCCCTTTGTCTCCTCCCCTCAGCCTCTTTTAACCACCTTCTATCTCCATGAATCTGACTACTCTAGGTGCCTCGTATAAGTGGACTCATACAGTATTTGTCCTCTGGTGATTGGCTTATTTCACTTAGCATAATGTCCTCAAGGTTCATTCATGTTGTAGCATGCGTTAGAACTTCCTCCCTTTTTAAGACTGAATAATATTCCATTGTATAGATGACACCATATTTTGCTTATCCATTCATCCATTAATGGATACTTGGTTGCTTCCATATTTCAGCTATTGTGAATAATACTGTTATGAACAAGGGTGTACAAATATATGGTAATTCTATTTTTTAAATTTTGAGGAAACATCATATCGTTTTCCACAGCGGCTGTACCATTTTATATTCCCACCAACAGTACACAAGGGTTTTAATTTCTCCTCATCCTCACCAACATAATTATTTTCTGTTTGTTTTTTTTTCTTTGACCATAGCCATTCCTAGTGGGCATGAGATCTTGAGCATCTTTTCATGTGCTTATTGGCCATTCAGATAGATTTGTTTTTTTCAGTCATACTTTTGAAAAATTTTTATATATATTTTTTTGACATTTAATTTTATTTTTTTTAATTTCAGGTATAAATAGTAGTTAGACATTTGCATAATTTAAGAAGTGATCCCCCCGACTAGTTTAGTACCCACTTGGCATTATACAGTTATTATCACATTATTGACTATATTCCCTGTGCTTTACATTACATCCTTGTGACTATTTTGTAACTACCATTTTGTATTTCTTAATCCTGTCACCTTTTTCACCCTGTCCTCCAACCCCCTCCCTCCCATCTATCACCCCAACGAATCTAGTACCTAGCTGACACCACACATAGTTATTACAATATTATTGACTCTATTCCTTATGCTATATCTTGTATCTCCATAACTACTTTGTAACAACCAATTTGTACTACTTAATCCTTTCCCTTTTTTTCACCCATACCCCCAACCCCCCTCCCATCGGGCAACCATCAATATGTTCTTTGTATCTATGAGTTTGTTTCTTCTGTTTTGTTTGTTAATTTTGTCCTTAGATTTCACATATAAGAGAAATCACATTGCATCTGTCTTTCTCTGTCTGACATCCTCCACTCAGCACAACACCCTCCAGGTCCATCCATGCCGCTGCAGATGGCAAGAACCCTTTACTTTCCCTGCCCTTGTAATGTTCCATTGTATATATGTACCACCTCCTCTTTATCCATTCATCCATTGATGGACACCCAGGCTGCCTCCACATTTTGGCCGTTGTAAACAATGCTGCAATGAACATATGGATGAACAAGTCCCCATGAAGTAGTGTTTTGGGTTTCTTCAGATAATTACCCAGAAGTGGGATTATTGGGTCCTTCTTTGTCTCTTCTTATAGCCTTTGTTTTAAAGTTTATTTTGTCTGGTATAAGTATTGCTACTCCAGCTTTTTTGTTTGTTTGTTTTCATTTTCATGAAATATCTTTTTCCATCCCTTTACTTTCTGTCTGTTCATGTCTTTCAGTCTGAAGTGAGTCTCTTGTAGGCAGCATATATAAGGGTTTTGTTTTCTTATCCATTCAGCTCTCCTATGTCTTTTGATTAGAGCATTTAATCCATTTACATTGAAAGTAATTGTTGATAGACATGTAGCTACTGCCATTTTTATTCATAATTTTGAGATATATATATATATATACACATATATATATACATACACATATATATACATATACATATATA